AGAATACCAGAGCTCTATCCAGGTCCCCTAAATGGTGGCAGGACCCAAACACATGAGCCATTGTCTGCTGTCTCCCAAGGAGCACGTTAGCAGGAGTCAGAGCTGAGACTAGAATGAGGCACTCCCCCTGACCAGGGAAGCAGGTATCCCAGGCTGGGACCTAGCTGCTGAGCCACAGCCCACCTCTTTCTATACTTCGAATCTATACCCGCTGTGTCTCAGGGAGTCCTCCCCGTCCTGTTTGGCCTTCAGATTTCAGAAGGATTCTGTTTCACCAAGAAACTGCTTTTTCTCTGGCTTGCATAAGGACTGGCTGTTTCAGCCTGTGTTGTGGAGCAGTATCCTGCGTCCCTGCGAGGGACACCTGCCTTCCGTGTCACAGTGCCAGCATTCCAGCTCCTAGATGCTTCCATCCCAGCATTTCTTCTATGGGCCTGGGGGGAGGCAGCAGATGATGGTCCCCAATACTGTGGCCCCTGCCACCCATGCAGGAGACCCGGGGAGAGATCCTGGCTGTTGGCTTTGGGTGAGTATAGTTCCATCCTGGGCATTTGGGGAGTGAGCCAGCAGAGACAAGTTTCGTCTTTCACTCTCTCCTCACCCTCAACTTTCTGTTTCCTTTCTGTCTGTTACTCTGAAGAAAGAAAGGAAGAAAAGAAGAAAAAGGAGAAAAACAATAAATTTAGAGCAACCAGTTTAAATACAGAGAATTAATTATTTAATTAACTTTAAAATGTATTCTTCTTTGATCTGGTGCAATGGCTGTGTAGCTAAATCCTTCCCTGGCATGTGCCCAGACCTATATGGGCACCACCTTATGTTCTGGCTGCTCCACTTCCCACCTAGCTCCTTGCTGTGCCCCGGGAAAGCAGTAGAGGATACCCCAAAGCCTTGGCACCTTGCACCCACATGGGAGATCCGGAAGAAACCCCTGGCTTCAGATCAGCTCAGCCCTGACCATTGTGGCCAGCTGAGGAGTGAACCAGTCAGTAGAATATCATTCTCTGTTTTTTTATTCTCTTTGTAATGTGGCCTTTAAATAAAAATATCGTTTTAACCCTGGAATTCGACTACCTGCACTTTAACATACTCTAAGAATTCCTCTATTGCCATTGAGGAAATCTACATGGGGAACAGATTTCATAACTTGTTAGGTGACCTCTCTTTCAAGTTAATTTTTGAAAATCAGAAGCAACCTTTCGCTTATTGTCAACAATTATTGGCTTATTTTCAATGTAAAGAGGAAGAGCAGCCAGAATTTAAACTTTGCTTTTTGAGTTCAAACACCACCAATTCTCCTTTTCTTGTGCACAGTGTGTGAGCCAGTGACATCCCTCCATACCTGGACAGGTGAGGAGGGAGTGGATGAGTGGATTGGATCAAGGCTCATGACCATGCAAGTCCTCAGTATAGAGCTGAGTAATTCAAAACGGGGAATCTGGACCTACCAGAAGCATGCAAAGATGTTCCAGGCTTTCTAAGTGACTTACATCCTTACTGCCCTGGAACTACACAAAGAGGAAGTTAAGGAAAGAAGTACATTCACTGGAGGATTCCCAAGGGCAAGCACTGGAGAGGTGGAGACCTGGAGTGTAGCCTGCCTCTGGGCCAGCACCCTTCCTTCTGGATGTGTGCTAACTCAGGATGCTGGCAGCTTGTCCACAAACCAGGAAAACGCACAGAAAATTCAAGCTGTGGACGTGAGCGTGTCCTTGAACTGATGGTTGTGGGGAAAGGCAGTAACGCAGAATGTGGGCCTAAAAGCTGACTGAGAGCTAGGGCACAGTGGGCAGAGATTCAGAGAGCAAGTCAGCACAGAGGACAGCGTGGGCAGGGGCATGGCCCCAGGTTTCTTACCTGACTCGGGAGCCTCTCTCTCAAGAGGAAGGAGCACCAGGTCCTGTGGTTCCATGCAGTTCAGGGCAGAGGAAGCAGGTCAGCTGTCTATCCAGAGGGCAGAGCAGCAGGGAAGTGTGGGCCTCATGGGAGGTTCTGTGGGTGGGGAGCAGGGCAGTAAAGAAGATGGTGCCATGGGCCTGGTGCAGTAGCCTAGTGGCTAAAGTCCTCAACTCGCATGTGCTGGGATCCCATCACATCTGAGTGCCAGTTTGTGTCCTGACTGGTGCACCTCCCTTCCATCTACCTGCCTGTGTCCTGGGAAGCCAGCAGAGGAGGGCCAAAGCCTCTGAGGAACCTAAAGACCAAAATGTTATCCATTGGCCCAGTGCTCATTGCTAACTGCTATGTATTTCTGCTTCTGTAACTTCTACTTTGCTTGCTGTGCTAAGAAATTGTGTGAACCCAGTCCTGACAACGTGACAATTTGCTCAGGCACCCTGATGGCAACATCCAGCCTACATGACACTTGCCCCCTCTCCCTGATAGAAACCTCCTACCTATTTTTGAATTAACCAATATTATATCTTAAAGATAAGCTCCCATGCAAATAGAGAATATCAAATACTAACCCTCCGATGGGCTGATTTCTGTATAAAAACCCTAAAATTGGGGGCCTAGAGGTCTTCCTCCTCTCTGGAGACCCGGGCATATTTGAATAAATGTTCCTGTCAACATCTGGCTCTGGTGATTCTTCCAGCAAGCCCGGAACAGTGATGAAAGGGGTGGCATCAACGACAAAAGTGACCGTGACCATGACTGTGGGGGCAGAAGCAGCTGGAAAGGCAGAGGCTGCAGGAGCGGGGTGACCACAGCAGCAGATGCTTGCTCCTACTCGAAGCTGTGACAGCCACTGGACATCTCTGGCTGCTGAGCTGTAACGCTGACCCTGTGACAACGGGACACCTGCAGAGCTGTGACGCTGAATGGCCCAACAACTCAGCAGTGCCCACTGATCTGAAGCACTGTCCCGGAATTTGCGACCTGTGCCAACCCACAGAGCTGAAACCTGAACCCTGCCTGCCTACTTACTGTCTGTCTGCTTACTGCCCACCTGTGGGGTAACAGCCTCAGCTAACTGAGCTGCAGTCCATGGGACCGAGGCCTTCTTGCTGCCTTAGAGCTGGTTTTGGTACAACACCTCGGGGCCCTGTGCTCATGCAGGAGGACTTGGTTGGAGCAGCTCTTAGCTCTTGGCTCTTGGCTCCTCTCTCTAGCTTCAGATCAGCTCAGCTCCAGTGGTTGTGACCATCTGGGGAGTGAAGAAGAAGCTGGAAGATTTTTCTCTATGTCTTTCCTTCTCTCCATAAACCTGCCTTTATAAGAAAAACAAATGAATCTTTAAAGAAGCAAACACTAGGAATTAAAAAAAAAAGCAGTGATGAACTGTGTTGGAAAATGAAGACTAGGAGGGAAATTAAGGCATCTGCGTGCAGTGCAGATATTATCAACTCCTGCTCCACTGCATGGCACCGTTCTTGATGTTTGCTTCACAGAAAACTCATGCCCAGCTCTCCCCAAGTCCACTTGTCATCGTAAAATCAACATTACATCATTGTTTTGCGAGACAAATCCATCTTAATCTCTGTTTTAATTCTACTTTTATTGTACGTCGTAAAGAATGATACAAGCATCCAGAAAAGTATGTCCTTTAATGGATGACGGCTTTGTCATTGCACATGCTCACCCACGTGCAGCACTCACAGTCCAGCACAGAAGGACAAAGTCACCTTGGAACAGGAAATGTCCAGGTGATTAGCACCTGCACATGGGATTAAATTCATACTTTTTGCTTTATTTTTTATGGTTTATATTTTTTTTTAAATGGAGAACTCTAGAGTTCCCTAAGACCTTCGATTTTCTCCTCAGGAAAGCACCCTTATGCATGCTGCTATGGTACACATCTGGCCAGAGTGATCAAGAAGTCAGGGGTGTGTATGTATGTGTGCAAATTAAACACTAGGAACTGTGTGTATGTGCGTGTGTTTATCCATAGAGATGCACACATATGCCAATATATTTCAAAAACTAAAGAAAATATAAGTTTGTTTCAATGCAAAAAAAATTGAAATTCATGTTTTTTTCGGAGTACATATTTCCACAACCTTTTTCAGATTCTGTGTATGAGTGTATGTCTGTGTGTGTGTGTGTGTGTGTGTATTCCTTGGCTGACACATCTAGTTTTTTGTCCTAGTAGCCCATAAAGACTGAACACATTGGAAAATGAGATTTACTCTTAAGCTACAGATAAGTCATCATATTTCGCTGTTCAGAGTATGAACTTTAGAGACTCATGTCTCCATTTTAGGAGCACTGGTTATAAATGTCCATGTATCATTTCCCTTGGCCTTCACAGAGATGATACTGCTGATTTTAGAGCATTGCTATTGGGATAAGCCAAATAATGACTAGTAGAATGACACCTTGGAATAAGCATGTTGTACTCAGGATTTTAATTTTGTTTCATTGAAAGACAGAGGCAAGGAAACGGAGACAGAGATCTTTCATCCTAAGTTACTCCCCCATGCTAACAATAGCCAGGCCTGGGTCAGATCAGGGCCACGGGGCAGGAATTCTATCTGAGTCTCCCATGGGCATGGCAGGTGCCTTGTCCCTTGAGCCATCCTTTGCTGCCTCCCAGGGTGTGCATAAGCAGGAAGCTGGAATCAGAAGCAGAGCCAGGACTGAAACCCAGTCATTCCAACATGGGGAACTGTTGTCTCAACTGCCTTCCTAACTCTTGTGCCAAAGATCGCTCCAATTACTTATTTAAAGGAACACAATTTGCATTTCTTTCATTTCTGATGTCTGTGATATGTAAACATGCATTTAGGATTAGGTGGTGTCTAACAGGATACTATGCAAGCAATCCTTGCATAGAGAACAGGACTGGGTGCTGACTTAGAGTTAACAGTGGGGTAAGTGTGGATGGGCTTGACTGAGACAGTTGCCTCAGAATGGTACAAATGGCAAACATCAAGTCAGGATGATAACTCTTTTTTTTCCCTGAGGTTTGTTTTTCTTCATTCTCAAGGATTTGGAACCTGAAGGAGCCAGCTGCTTTGAAAACAGAATAGTCACCATGAGGACAAATACCAAGAAACATGAAGAGGAACTGAAAAAGGCAACAATTCATTGGATGCAGCTGGATCCAGACAGGGTAGTGACAAGCAGTTAGGAATGTTTTTCAGTTTCCCATGAAATGGAACTGATTTATTCAGCTTGTGTGAGAGATGGCAGGACGGGACAGCCTGTGTGGGTGAGAGCGGGGCGGGGCAGTGTGGCTCTGTGTGTGTGTGTGTCTAGTGAGTCAGCAAGCTGAAGGTTTTCCTCCAGGGTGACAACCAATCACCAAGAAGAGTGGGTCAGATTCCTGGAGTGGTGTTGGCAGAATTGCATGCTGAACTCCTGGTCCTGTGGTATGCATAGTAGAGACTTCTCAGAAAGCGTTGTTGGGACACTGGTCTATGGTCTTGGCAAGGGCAGTGAAGGTAAAGCAGGATGTGGGGGGAAGGGAGCTTTCAGGCTGTGGATGCCTGTGGCAGGAGGGTCACGTGTGCTTTGGATGTGGGGTCAGTAAACTCAGGCCTGTGGTCTTCTGGAAATGCAGTCTGCAACAGGGGACAGTGAGCAGTGGTGGAGAAGTGCAGGTTTTGTCCTTGGTGCTGGTGAGGCGCAGGTCTGCTTGAGAGCAGAGACGAAGCACAGCTCTGCACGGGAGGAAGGCGTGGGTGAGTGGTGACTGTTGCGAAGTCCAGGTCTTTCTGGGAGAGGGAGGCAAGTGCTGTCGGGGTCAGGGTCAGAGTCAAGATCATTGAGGAAGTGCATTCTGTGTCGGGGTTGATGATGGAGAAACATGGGTAGGTTTCCAAGTAAGTTGAAGATGATGATTTGTGACCTCCAGGATTTCTTTGGGCGCGTTCCAGAAGCTGATTCTGAGTTGGGTTGGTGGGAAACTGGGTCCAAAACACCTTGGTTTGGTAAGGAAGCACAGGTCTGATCAGAAAGTGGTGTGGTGTGGTGTGGTGTGGTGTGGAAACTGTAGGTCTTCCTCAGGGGCGGGAAAGAAGTGAGGGGACAGTAGGAAAGCAGGGGTTCTGTATGGTGCAGAGAAGAAAGCTCAGCCTGAAGTGGGGTCAGCTGGGAACCCATGTTAGGAAGTGAACTCTGGAGCAGCTGAGGTGAAGAGGGACTCTGTAGTTGGGCTGTGTGGTGCCGGGGTCTTGTAGTGCTGCGGGTTATTGTTGGGGGTCTGTGTGGTGCAGGAAGCTGTGTGATCTTGGGGTTCAGCTATGCTGGGGACCGTGAGGTGCTGGGGCCTATTTGTTGTTGGATAACTGTGTGATGCTGGGAGGTATGTAATACTGGGGGCATTGTGGTGCTGGGCACTGTGTGGTACAGGGGGCCTGTGTGGTGTGGCAGGGCTGTGTGATGCTGGGAGCTGTGTGATCCTAACAGTTGTTTGGTGCTGAGGGCTGCCTGCCATTGTGGCTTGTGTGATTTTGTGGAAGTTTGTAGAACTCATTGCTGTGAGGTGTTCAGGAGTTGTGTGATGGAGATGATTTGTGGTGCTCAGACTGTGTGTTATTTGGAGGCTGTGTGGTCCTGGGGCACTGTGTGGTGCTGGGAACTGAGTGGTGCTGGGCATTACGTGCTGCTGAGGGACTGTGTGGTGCTTGGGAATGTGTGGTTCTGGAAGACTATACGGTAGTTGATGTCTTTGTGGAACCGAGGCACTACATGTTGCTGGGGCTTGAGGAGCTGTGGGCTCTGCAGCGCCTGGAGATCAGGTGCCGCTGGGAGGCTGTGTAGTACTGACAGTGTGTTTTGGTGCTTTGTGATATTCGTGGCTCTGTGGTACTGGAACATTGTGGTACAGGTGGTTGTGTGTTCCAGGAGCTGTGTGTTGATGGGAGGCCATGTGGTCCCAAGAATTGTGTGAACCTGGGCATATCGTGATATTTGGTGCTGTGCTGGGCTCTGTGGTTCTGGAACTTTTTTTGTTGCTGAGGGCTGTATGGTGCTGTGAGTGGTTTATTATTGGCTTTGCATGGTGCTGGAAGATGTGCATTTTGGGGCGTTATATGGTGTTGAGGCCTGTGTGGTCCTGGGGTCAATATATTGCTGGGCATTATTGGTTCTGGGGCCTGTGTTTTGTTGGGGACCTGTACAATGCTGGATGCTGTGTGTCCCTGTGGCTGTGTGGTCCTAGGGACACTGGTGCTATAGATTAGAGTGTCCCTTGGGGCTGTGCGTTGGGGAGTGTTGTGGTTCTGGAGACTGCATGGTGTTGTGGGGCTTTGCAGTGGTTGGGGCTGTGTGGTCTAAGGGGTTGTGGTTTTAGGTGCTGTGTGGTACTGGGTACTTGTGGTGTTTGGGCACTGTGTGGCACATTGGTGATTGTATGATGTGTGATACTGGGGACTGCTGTGTTGTGCTGCAGGCTGTGTGGTGCTGAGTCCTTTTCAACGTCTTGGGGTGTGGTGTTGTGGGCCTTTTTGTTTTGGGGAGCGCTCGTTTCTGAGAACTACATGTTTGGCTCTGCATCGTGTCGATGGCTCTGTGTTGATGGGAGCTGTGTTATGCTTACCGGCTCTGTGGTGCAGAGACTGCATGGTGTTAGGGGAGGTTTCCTGAGTGGTGCTTGGGTTGGTTGTGTGTGAGGTGTTGGGGGCTGTGTTGTGTTTAGGGCCTGTGTGGTGCTAGAGGCAGTCTGTTGTCCGCATGCTGTGCAGCGCTGAGATGTTTGCGTGCCTAGGGCCTTGTGTTTCTGGGAACTGTGTAGTTCAGTACTGTGAGTGTTGGGAGCTGTGTGGTCCTGTGAGCAGTGTGCTCCTGGGGCATTTTGGTGCTAGGGAAGTGTGTGATTCTGTGGTCTCTGTGTGTGTGTGTGTGTGTGTTTTAACTTCGCAGACTGTGTGGTCTTCAGCAGTTGTGTATTGTGTGATGGTGTTGTGATGCTTGAGGCTGTGTGGTTTAGGGAAAATGCATAGTAGTGAGGTAAGGTGTGGTGCTGAGAACTATGTGGTACTGTGGCCTGTGTTATCCCAATGGTGGTGTGGTGCTAAGGAGCTGAGTGATGCTGGGGACTCTATGTTGTTGCGGCATACACTAGAGGCTTGTGGAACTTTGGGGCTGTGTGACATTGATGGGCTGTGTAGTCCTGGGGTGAACTGTTTGCTGCTGCGTGTCTGTCATATTGGGGCTGTGTACTACCATGGAGCTGTGTGGTGTGGGTCTCATGTGGTACTGGGTGATGGTGTGGTGTTGGGGTTATTGTGATGTGATGGTGTGATGGGGATGATATGGAGCTGAGTCTTTCTGGGGTCTGTGTGCCTCTGTGGACTCTGTGCTCTGGGGGGGGGGGGCTTTAAGGTGCTTGCATGCTGTGTGACATGTGGGTGTCTTTTGGGTACTGGCATGGCCTTGGGTTACAGGGGCCTTTGTGTGTAGAGAGGGACTCACAAGAGAAAGATCTGTGTGTGTAGGATGGCCTTGAACAGCTGGAGCTTTGGGTGCAAGAGAACCTGGTGTAACCGTGTCTGTAGGAACAGAGAAGGCCTCACATGACAGCAGCCTTTGGGCACAAGGAAGGCCTTGTGTTTGGGGTCCTGTGGGTGCGGGGATGCCCTCCTGTAGCAAGGGCCTTTGGGTGCTAATATGTTTTCACACATCCAAGATCTGAGTGCACAAGGACACGTTAGCATGTCCAGGGCCTGTGGATTCAGGGATCATCTCTCATGCCAGGGGTCTGTGGGTGCATGGACAACCTCACGCTCCTGGATGCTGTCAGTGCAGGGATGGCCTCATGTGTAAGGAGCATGTGGGTGAGCAGCAGTCTTGCCAGTTAGGGACCTGTTGGTGCTGGGACAGCCTTGCCTAACACAGGTCTGTGGGTGCACAGATGACTTCACTTAACAGGTGCCTGTCATTGTGTGGATGGCCTTGAGGGGGTGTTCCGTGTTGTGGGGTGCTCTTGCATATCAGTGGCTTGTGGTTGTGGGAATGGCTTCCCACATCCTGGAAGACTTGCTAGAAAAGTCAGATCTGGAGCCAGGTACGGGGGTCTCCTGGGCAGCCGAAGTTGAGCCAAGTACAGAGAGGGGAAAGCACATGGTCAGGCCATGAGCAGACTCCTGTTTTGGTTTGCTGCAAAGTCCTGCTCCTTAGCGCAGAACCAGCCTGTTGCGTTTCTTGTTGGACTCTACAGTTCGGGCTTATCCTGTGTGTCAGGGTTCATCGATGGCACAGAGGCTCTCTGAATCATCCCTGTGTGCCCTGAGAGGTTTTCCTAAAATGCACAGCACATTAGGACAACTGACTGGGAGTGGGTGTCATTCAGAGTTGTCCTAAAGATTGGGCTGTATTCTGTGATATAAACGGCCATGACAACTGACACTGTTGGGGGTCCCATAAAGGACTTACTGCGTCATTTACGTCGAGTGAAATGTGACCCCAGGAAGGTGCAGAATAATCCACGTTCCATGTCTCTCCTGGAAGAAAACAACTCTGGAAGTGGGAAAAGGGTCTTTAGAGGGAATGAAGTTAACAGAAGTTCATTAGGGTGGCCACAGTCTGCTAGGGTGGGGAACATCTGCACAAAGACATACATAGGGAATGCGGTGGGAAGAGACGGGGAGAATGTGAAGCTGGAATATTGATTGTTTGGGAGATGCTGTCACAGAGGAGGAGGGGCTGCAGCTTCCAGGAGGTGGCGAGGCAGCGAGCATCACCAGAAGAGCCCTTTAGTGTTGAGTCTGTGGCTTCAGGCCTGTGGGAATACATCGCTCCGTTGTTCTCAGCCACCTGGCCTGTGGCCCTCTGTATTCCTGTATGGGGCAGGTTTGTGTCCTGGATGCTGCACTTGCAATCTAGTTCTTTGCTAACAGCCTAGGAAAAGCAATGGAGGATGGCCCAAGGGGTTTGGCCCCTCTGGCCCCTCTGGGAGTTTTGCAGTTTGGGTTGTTTTGTCCAATTAGAAACAAATGCAGTTCTGGGTGTTTTCTTCAGCTGGGAAGTGAACTAACAGAGGGAAGATCTCTCTGTGTAACTGAGTTTAAGATAAAGTAAATAATCTTGAGGAGTAAATGGAGAAGAAATATGTAATGAAGTGAA